TCCATGCTACTGCTGGGTGGTGCAGAACTCTGGCTGTTTGGCAGTGTCAGGGGCATGCAACAGTATGGAAATGAAGAGCAGTGCACTTTTGGTAGCCCACCAGGCCACCAGATTTGGCCTGTAGGCCACATGTTTGACACCCCTATTCTAAAGCATAGCAAACTGTACTCTTAAGGGGTGGAGACAGAAGTGCAGCTCCCCACTGTAACTGAGAACACTTTGCAGGAAACGCTTTGAGTTGCAAGGATCCCTTGGAAGGAACAGAAGTTCACTGTTGGTTCCAGGGGGGAGGGGAATCTAGCCCCTCCTCTTTCCCAGCCTGTCCCTGTTTCAGAATGGGAGAACCAGAGAGAGTTTGTTCTAGGGGCTCCCCAGCCAGCTCTGGAGGGTGGTATGGGTGAACTGGAGGGCCCCCCACTCAGGGGGGACTCCAATACACCCTTCCCACCCTCCAGCAGGGGTTGAAAAAACTCCAGACCGAAGTCCCTCTGCTCCCTTTTCCCCCTCCAATTCTGAAAACAGCTCGAGGCTGGCAGGCAGCAGAGACACAAATTAGAGAAGACATTCCGTTTTGAAACATCTTCATCTGACCCCTCATGCAATGAGGGATCAGATTTTCACCCAATGGGCCATTTTTAAGCTATCTGCAGCCATGCATTTGTGGTTGGTCATGGCTATAAGCTGCTTTCTGTGGCCTGATTGGGCAAAAATTGTCACTTCAGTCTGCATCCCTTTTTTCCTGAAAACGTATGGCATCCGATCCTAATGTTTTCCATTGTAGACCTGTACCATGTAATCACTTTACTATTTTACTGGTCTTTACTGTATATTTGTATAGTTTTCTCCCAGTATATGGCAACTGAAAGAAACTTACTTGGGACTATTTTAAATTGAACATGTAAAAATATTTCGTTTCCAATACTTTACTAACTCATGTATATGCCAACAGATACTGTTAGAGGCTTTCACGTTAAAATAGAAATCCCCTTGTTTCAATAGTAGGTTGCTAAAGCTGCCTACTATGCTTGTATTAAATACAATGTACATATGCATATAAGCATCATTGTGACTATACCTAGTTATGCAACAGAAGAAAGAGACTACATGGAAAATTGTAATAAAGCTAGCCATGGTGGCAGGCATAATATATGGACCTATGTTCTTAATGGTAGTAGAGTCTAAAGATGCCAGAGAGCCCTTTTTTATATGAAGAGCATTTATCTTAAATTAGTTTTGAATGGATTTCAATAAGCTAATGCATGCTCTTATTTGAATGTTGCACCATATATTTCATTTGAAGTCCATAGTAATATCAAAACTTGAATTCTCAGAAGACTGAGACTTGGGAATTTGTGCCTTTTTGTGTGTTTGTACATGTTGGAACCTCCACTACACACATGTTCATCAGCTGTTTTACACATCCAAAATGTGTTACATTTTAAATGTTTTTCTGTACTGATTAAAACATGTACACGCATGCGTGCACACACACACACACACACACTTTTTTAGGTGTAGATAAAGGACCTCTGTAAGTTCCAAAATACCCAGTATCATTAATTTCTAACATTCTGCTATACCCCAGTAAATATCAATCTCAATAAAAAACAGGCAAGGTCAAGCATTTAACAAGAGGACTAATTGGATACTTTCACCTCTGATCAGTCTCTGAAACCTAGAGTCTCTTTTGGGCTGATTGCATGATTACACAGTTTAATGGCATTACTCTAGTACTGAAAATTCCAGTGGGCATAGTCTGTGCAGCTTCTGGGTCTCCAAACACAAAATGTGATTTGTTTTTTAATCTGCTCAGTGCTGTGGTGTGCTGTGGCAGTGGTAATGGGTAGTTGCTTCAGGGCTAAATCTTTTGCTTTGACTGAGGAGATAGAGGCCAGTTAACTACAGTGCAAACACTGAGACCAGAACACAGAGCGTCCTGTGGTCATGATAGCTGGAATGTTTCACCAAAAGGGGGAGGGAGGGGCTTTCACAGGAGGTTTGAGGAAAGGGGAAAAGAGGTTCATATTCCTTAGAAACAGTAGTGGAAATGTTATGTGTAGCTCAGTAAAGTCAGTCTTCATTACAGAAGCAGAGAGTAGAAATAAATGAATGAAATCTCAGATACTGTTTTCTACATACACACACACCAGCCCTAACAAAAAGTCCAAGAAAGAAAGCATGTTTACTTGGAAACAGAAGCTAGAAATTACTACTTATACTTTTCCTACATTGAAAATACTCTCTGAATTGTGTAGAAAACATGATTCTCCAGTACCTTTTTAGTATATGTCTTGAGTTTTCCCACCTGTCTTGGATTTGGGAAAAAAACTTGTTTTTCTAAAGTTGTATAATGGAGTGGCACCGTTGTCGTGCTTTGTTCCACACATGAATTTCCACAGCGTCATGTTTCTGTCCTCTTGTACAAAGAAGAACCAAAATGGAAATCCAACCTAGTATTTATCTGAATGACACTTATTGTTGTTTACCATTTGTTTCCCCTCATAGGGATGCATGACACTTCACCTACTGAGTACAGAGGCTCCATTTCCTACAATTTGCAATCTAAACAGACCACAACAAGGCAGGACCCTGGGTGAGGTAACAGCAAGGAGAGAGCAAGGTATATACAAGTGAGGTTTGCTTGGACTTGGACACTGTGAATTATTTGTGGATAGCATTTTAGTCATTCGCAGTAGTTTAAAGGGGATGAGAAGATTGTTACTGTTTGTTTTACTGTCTAGCTTGGAGCTAGCTGAAAATCATGCATTTGTAAATGATGGTAACATGATCTCTTCCCTTCACTTCCTGTTCAAAAATGTTTACTCTGTTCCTGACCCTTTCCTATCTCTGAACTATTCACTACACTAAGATTAGTAGCCTGCACACATTTTCCTTTCCCTATCCTAAGGACTTTGTTGATAAAATGATTACACTTTACTCTTTGCTTAATGCTTCCCTTTCCTTGGCAACTTTCCCTGTTCCTGGCAGCCTCACGGTTCTTTGTCCCAGCTGTCCAGAAGGAGGTATTCTCATCACTTGTCTGGGGGTGTCTCATGGGAGAAGCAGAATAACCTTTGTCTCCTCTAACACAGGCCTCATAGAAATTTGCACAATGTAGCTTCTTTAAGCTCCGATCCCTTTAAATCTGTGCAATCCAGGGGTGTGGAACCCTCTCTTCGTCTTCTCTTCAGGGGTCTTCCTGCTGCTACACCAGAGCTGAGATGTGGGTCTTCCTCCCACCCCCTTCCCTTCCTTTAGCCTTTTATAATGCACAATTGTTGATTATTAGACCCTAAAATTACTCTGGAGTGAAAGGGGAGTTGAGATTTTTCTACCAAATCCTATGAAGCACCAGTCTAAAGGCAAATGCAAGTACTCCCACCGGATACAATTCTCTGTGCCCCTTGTGTAAAGCTCCTCTCATGTTTAGCTTTCTGCTGAATTGGGGCCTTGCAGAGAATTTAAATGACCATCTATTAAAGGTGGGATTGTGAAATGCTCAGATTTCAGGAGGAGCAGTTAGACCCATGCTCACAATGTGTCCCATATACCCCTCCCCTTCCTGTTGCTTTTTATGTCTTCTGGCCCTTACTTTCAGCACCACTTAAAGTTAGAGAGAGGGAGAGATGCTCTATTTTTCAATAAGAGATATGAAAATGTTTAAAGTTCACTCCCTTTGCTTTCTCTGATTTCAAAGCCAGTCTCTTACAAATAGAAAAGCATTGCATTACAGCAGGCCGTTATTTTTCTCTCGTTTTATACTTGAGGGTATTCTCTGATGCTTAATTTTTTTTCTTCCTCAGATATCCAATTTCCAAATGAAAACTGTTAAAGAGATATCTTAAAGGGAAATCTACTATTTTACTAAACTTCTCTGAACTGAATCTGTAAACAGATTTCAAAAGAGAAACTTTTATTTAAAATAATATGGAATTGCATTAGTAAATACTCTGCAGCTTTTACAAAGTCCATTCCCCAAATTAATCAATGGAAGTTTTGGTTTAGATTTGTCTACGTGGTTTGGCATGTGTGTGTGTGTGTGTGTGTGTGTGTGTGTGTGTAAATATATTCCTTATCTATCCTGTATGTAGCTAAATCCTTCAGTATCTCATACCAGAAGGCCAGCTGCATTGCCGCTGTACATGGATTTTTCTTTATGCAGTGATGGTCCAGGAAATATGCAAGAGGCCAGAAATCCTGTCTATAGTATCTTGTAGCTTCTCCCACTTTTTGACCATCACCCACAGGAATTCTTATTTTTCTTTAACATCTTTGATAGAAATATTATTTTTGACCATTTGATTAGAAGTGAGAATTGAATATGACACAGATGGTAAATAAATTACTTTTAAAGCTGCCTACTTGGATTGCACAGGTTCAAGTGATAAGCTTCAAACAGCCTAAAAGAAAACAAAGTAAAATAATAGGAGAGTTAAACATAAGATTAAAATAATAGATTTAAAATGAAGGAACAGTGAGAGATAACGCAAAGAAAACATTTTTGTTTGTTTTCCATTGTCTGCAGAAAAAACTTCTGACTTGACAAATGTGGAATGCCAGGAAGTACTGCTATTGACCTATTGTAGAAGATGATGTAAAAACTGTGTTGTCAAATTTTGCAAATGATATTACATGTGGAGGGACTTGCAAATGTAGGGGCAAAGCTAAAAAATGGCTCGGGGATCTGCTGAAACAGAATGCGTGATCGGGGAGTAGCAAAGCGATATTTGATATTGATCACTACTGCCAATGGATCTGAAATGTAGGTATTCTGTGGGCAGAAGCAGTATAAGCTGTGGGCATTGCATGGGTTAACTTAAGGCAAGTCAAGATGCCCCTGTTATGTTAAAACACACAACCCCTAGAAGTGACAGTACACTTACCCAGGGATGAACTAGACACAATCTACTTATACTTTCATACATCACAGATTAGTTTTTGTTTGTATGTGGCCCCTCTCTAGTTCACCCAGTTGGCTGCCAACTGCCTTTTCACAGGGCTTTGTATCTTCTCACATCCTAGTATTCCATTTACCTTTATGATCTTTCCTGCTCTAGGTTACAGTGATGAGCTGTCACCTTCCACTTAGCTTCTGGTGTCTGGCCTGATTCTGCTTTTTTCTGCTCAGTCATTAAATGATTCCTTTCCATGATGAAGGTGGCTGGTGTGAAGCTTCGTAAACCTCATCAGCAGTGGGTAGGCAGGTTGGCTGCATATCAGTGGTGGTAGGGTCATGCTATTATGTTACAAACAGTTCTAGAAACCTCTCTTCCTTCATTAGGGGAATCAAGGTAGAATTGCTGAAAATTCTAGTCATATGTTTTTCAGACTGCCCTGCATTAACATGAGTAAATGTCTTATGGAAGTTGATTAGCCTCTATAGCATGACAAGAAGAGGATAAAAAAAGACTTCAAATGTAAGAACTGATAAACCTGGTAGAAATAGCAAAGGATGGTAATGTATAGTTCACTTTCACTCAAAGGCCCCTGTTATACATTACATATATTATGCAATTAAGTGGTTAATCACACAATACCTTTAGATCACGCATGCAGAGTATTATCCCAGGTTGAAATGACTATCCAGCTATAAAAAGAGCCAACCAGCTATGATAGTGCTTGAAAATGTGTGATAATTCTATAGCTGGTTTCTATCCAGTTTTAATTTGCACATGTAGCAGGGCCCCAATACAGCTGCAGAGTAGGGCTATGCAAAATGGCACCTTTTTATTTCAGCTTGCGTTTTGATGAAACATTGTTTTGTTTTGAATTTCGTTTTGCTTTGAAACTGCTATTCTGTTTTGTTTTGTCGAAACAGTTTTGTTTCGTGGAAACCAAAACAGTAGGCTGAAGAAGTGAAGTTCATAGACCCGGCTCTGAAAAGTGGTTTGTAAATTCAAACAAGCACCTAACCTCATCACCAGAACTCAAGTCAACTTCCTGCAGCTCAAAACACAAAACCTGCCAACTATCTCCAGTACCCCCACAAACTGCACACCAGAATCTATCAAAGGCAACAATACTCAACTACCTGTGGGAGCACATTCCTCACCAAAAAAAACACTCTGCCGCCAGTCTCTCAGGCCTGATCCTGATAGGGAACAATTTACAAACCACTTTTCATAGCTGGGCCTATGAACTTCACTTCTTCAGCCTCCTAGGTACAGAAACTCATAGACTCAATATAGGCAGTGGAATTCTGACACACTGCAACGTGCCAGACATCTGACTTCCCAGGTACCTCTGCACTTTTGCCTGCGCTGCTACATCCCCCTTCCCTGCCTCCTCACCCCAGCCTGTTCTACACCCCCTGATGCCTCCATTTCTATTTTCACAGACTGGCTTTCTTGCCTGCATTGTGCGCCAGGCCAGCTTCTGGCTTCTTTACTATTCCTTCCATCCAGGACCAGGAGACACACCAACTGCAGGTGCTTCCTCAGCCTGACAAAGAGATTTTCAATGCAAAACCTGGCATTCCAGGCAGCTAAGTTGATCTCACCTGGAGCCTCACAACTCCACTGCAACCAGCAAGCCTCAGGCCTGTCAAAGATGTGACAGGTCTGGGATTTCCCCAGCAAGGACTGTGTTTGTGCATGTGTTAGCTGGAGAGGGTTAGCATGCCTTGTTACATGTAGGGTCAGGTGTTTGGGTTTTTTCGTACATGGCACCATCAGTTGTAGATTTTCCAGTCTCAAATTGGTATGCAGTGGATAACGATTGAGAAGGGTTGCTAGGTTTTTAGTTAGCTATTTTCTCTCATTTCTCCACAAACAAGGGGGCCATCGTTTTAGTGGTCTTCCTCTGCTGCTCTGGGAGTAGCTCCACAGAGATTTCTAGCAAGGTAGCTTTCTTCATCCTGAGGCTCTTCTGCCAGCCCATCTTTGTTTCCCATACAGAAAAAAGTGATCCTTGGTCCCACAGCAAGCCCTGAAAGTTAGTCATCGACGTATCCTTGTCCTCTGTTGAGATGCTAACATAATGAGTGAGCAGACCACATGGATCTATTATGCCTTGGGTAACAGAATTGTCCACCTCAGCCTTTTGGTGCTGTTCTTGCCATTTGGAAATCATAGAAAACAGGGTGGAAAGGGACCTCAGGAGGTCACAACACTATCTAAAGTTGTTTTTTTAATGTGTTGATGTTGTGTTGAAGAGCATACCAGAGGAACTCAGATACCTCTATCACAGTCTGGTGATGGTTGGCATGTAGCTGACAGGGGTCATAACAGGCAGTCCAGCCTGGGCTAATTGCTCAGCTGGCCAGACCTACCTAAGGCTCTAACTGGTAGCCTTACCACAGCTAATTGCCCGGATGGCCACTGCTAGGGCTTCCTGATTGGCTGCCAGGAAGAACAGCCCCCCATTTATTTCTACCTATAGCAGCAGACTGCACATCAGCCCATAGTTCTATGGTCTGCTGTAGGAAGCCTCCTTGGACTGCTGCTTGGCCTCATGGTTAGCTGAGGTCAGATGCACATTTGATCTTAGTTGGAGATGCTGGGATGGGATCATGAGAAACTGCTGCAAGGGGACAGAGAGAGGAGGAGGCAGCAGCAGCAGCATCCTGGTCATCTGGATCTGCACCTCTGTAGGTGGAGGAGAAGATCCAGTGACTGCAGA